ATTAGCCTAGAGCGTACGAGGGTAAGGTATAAAGTTGATTTACCGCGTATTATCCAATACGGGTGATACCACAATACTTTGTACGAATTACATTTATTACACACGCTGGGATTACAACTCGATTTCCTAAATCAAGTAAATAATCTAATAAATACTTTTATTAAATTTGAAAAAAAATTATTTAATTTACCTTTTCCTATAGGTGTCCATTCATTTGCCCAGAAAACAAATTGTTTGTAGCACAGATATCTTCTCGTTTTATTTTCCAGGATAGTATTGCACAGTAACTTCTTTTTTCCCTTATTTTTTGTTTTGGAAATGATTTGTTTTCGAGTAATGTCAATAACTTCTTCATCCATTATTAATTTCGAAAACGATGGGTTTTCTATCACACATTTATATTTACCACGTAATTTATTTAAAATGTCTATTTCCGAACAGCAAATACACTCGCGATCCGTTGGTAATATTGTGCATTTTTGACAATTACACCAATTACTTATTTGAAGCAATGATCTACCAAAGCATTGGCTAAATTCATTATGGTTAGTATTAAAAGAATCATAGTCATCGCAGAAATCTGATTTCGTTGGTTCAAATTGATATGGTGATGTCATATTGATGAGTCAACCACAATCGTAATTTATTTTCAAGTATGTTCACTCAAAGAAACACAGAACAATACTAAAATAATAAATACTAATCCAGTCCTAGAAGAAAACGACAAAAACCCGTTATGTAGAACGTAATTATTTTTGTACACAAAAATATCAAACCCAAAATAATAATAATTATGTAATAATATTGTGTGAAATTATATTAATAGGTCGACGCTCGACGTGCGTACGTACGTGGAGCCATACTGCAGCGCAGCGAGATTAGATTCTATGACGTCACGCTCTAACTTTAAATGACTATAACTCGCTAACCAAAAGCCGTAGACAAGTTTAGTTTGGACTTCTGTTTTTCTTTAATTAAGAATTTTTTTTCAAGAATTAGTTGTTTTTTTTCCTTTCATGGTCCTTTAAAAACCATGAATGTGATTTTTAGACAAAAATTTTTTCCGTGAAGTTTTTCATGTACCTATCTACAGTTATTCGTTTTTGAATAACAACAAAATAAAGAAATCGCTACACGAGAAATCGAGTGAATATCCAATATTGTAAAAATTTGAATTTCAAACGTTTCAAACTATTTAATTTGACTTTCTTATTGACATTTTTTTTTTGATAAAGGTAGATAATCTTATAAGGAATCTTGTATTACATTTTAAAATCTTAGATTTAAAAAGAAAAAGTTTTATGAATTCTTAACTCAAAATAATTTGCTAATTTTCGTGGTTTTTAAATATTTTTGAACTTTAAATGCTTATAAAAAAAAACTGTGACTAAGGATTTTTAATATTAAAACTGCCTTTGAAACAATATACTAGGAGCCTTCTATTAAATTTTCAAGCTTTTTTAACCAAAAAATAAAATTTAATTGATATTTTTAGAAAAAAAACTAAAAAAAAAATGGAAAATGAAAATGAAGTTGAACATTTTATACATTTTTAAATTTGAGAAATTATGTCAAAATTCGAACTTTAAATGCAAAAAAACTAAAAATGTCCTTCAACGGTTCAAAATAAATCAAAATATTTTGAAAATGTTATCGTGTATAGAAAATGCAAATATAAACAATCAGTGAAAATGTCATGTTTCTACGATCATTTGTTTTTAAGTTACACCAAAAACCAAATTCAATTTTGTGAGAAATCGATTTTGCGTAAAAATTCCAGTTTTTCCTTAATTTTTCTCTTGTTTTTCTTGGTGCTTTTGAAAATTACTGGGAATTTTAAATTTTGACCTGCCCAATGCACCAACGATATTCACTTTCCAATCGAACAAGATATTGAAGTTGAAAATCGAAGCATTATTTCGACTACTTATTGTGTAAAAGACACAAAAAAAAAAAATAAAAAAAACACACATCATTGTAAAATCAATACATTTATCGTTCCATTCAGAATCTAAAAATATATCTATTTTTTTTGCAAATGGATCCAGTATGATTTCTCTATCAATTGTTTTGCAAATATAATTTTATATACTTAATACTAATGATAGCTAAATTGTTGAATCTATTTTGCAATATAGTCTATAAACGACCTCAATCATGTTTTTATTCTTCTCATTGCTGAAAAACTATGTTCACATGTTGATGAACTTATGGGGAAAGTGAGTGAAACTTGCATAAGATCAGTGGTGAAGCGTCATAGGAGACAAAGAGACATGGTCTCCCCACTTAGAAATTAGAACACGGGACAGATAAATAATTATTATTTTGTTTTATAAAATATTTAAAAATGTGAATTTTATTTTATATTATAAAAGCGGGTAAGTGGATGTCACTCTGCTGTACAGTAGGTTACAAGTGGGCCATTGTATAATGGATTGTATTAAACTTGAATTCAATGATACCTATTTTATCATTGTATAAGAAAAACGATTCTGAGCGGAGACTGTTTGTCAGTCTAGATATTTTATTTTGTCATTAATTATTATATTATGTAATTCGAATTAATATTATAATATTTTCATTTTTTATTCGTTTCTAAGCTAATAAACAAAGCGTTAGAAATTAAAATCCAATTTTTATAGGTTTTTCGTAATTTTTCGGTGGTTTTTACTGTGGCATTAAATAAATATTGATAAAATCGAAAAATGACCTCTCTAAAGAACCATCTTGATCCCATTTGCTAAAAGATGAGGTACTATATTATGTTGAAATTGAAGCACTCCTTCTGGTAGAAATTTTGTACACAGGATATAAAAAGTATAAAAAAAAAAATAAAAAATAAATAAACACCATTGTAAAACAACTAGCTTCCTCGCTCCGCTCAGAATCTAAAATATATGATGTATGTTTCAGTAGGTATTTGTTAAAATCGGTTTTTCGTTGTACCTAGTGTTGTACAGTTATAGAATTCTTAAAATTAAAAGCGCGAGATACGTCCGTGCGTATAGTTGTCGGATACGGGTCATTCCAAATATGGTATTATATCTAAATCTAATAGACGTTGAGACTCAACGTCTGGCAAATATGGGTGAGCGGGTACAGGGGAAATGCTAATGTGAGTGGGGTTTACTATGTACGCTGTGGATACGTCTCGCCGTTCGTAATTACCTGTCCAGTGTCCTCAATATTTATTATCGACGTGGCTGTCGCATTGTCACGCTATCCTCATAGGTATACGTCGTACGTGTTTCTTAATATTTGTGGGGTGACAATCCAAAACGTACTATTTCCATTTTACACTTTTTTGAGAAATCACGATTTTCTATTTTTCCACGATTTTGGAAATAGTACGTTATGTATTTAATTCAATTATATTCCCTATCTTCATACTATGGGAAATAGTACATTTTGGCCTACTTTGGAAATAGTACGTTTTGTACAATTCGAGGAATTGGTACGTTTTGCGTCTATTTGCCAATAAACAAACTATTTAACATGGACAATACTACGTTTTGACGTAATTTTGGAAATAGTGCATTTAGATAAATTATGGCTTTGGAAATAGTGCGTTTTGCGTCATTTATGAGTTTCAGATTGATTTTAACAAGGGAAATAGTACGTTTTGTCACAATTTGATTGCACTATTCGATTCCCTGCCTTAATTTCTATAAGAATCAATATATAACTCAATTTCTTCAATTTTGCCAATAGTACGTTTTGGATTGTCACCCCACATTTATTGTTTTATATTGTAATTTGTCCTCGTGGGCGATGAACTGATGATTTAATTAATGCCATTTTTAATGATGGAATTATTTTTAACTTCTCATCCGGAAAAAAATGTGTACATTTGAATTTGTTATTATATTAAATTATCATTTTAATTAAGTTGTAACGTTTCTAACTTTTTTAGTATAATATTTCAGTTCGTTTTTAGTTTTTGAACATTTATTTCTTACTTTATAGATATAATAAAAATGGGGGAGGGAGTCTAGGCATATTAGTGCCATTTTTTTTTTTCAGTGTCTTCAAAAATGTTTATAGTTTTTCACTACTACACACATTTCTGATTGAACACTTATACTTTTAACATCAATAGCTCCTAGACAATTAACAATTATCTCTCATATAGTAATAGCATAATAAGAATAACTTACTATATATAAAATAAATAAATTATAAAAATTCTATTTTAAACCCACAGGGCATATTATTTATTAATTTAGAATATTCAATTTTGATAGCAAGTTTTTAAACTAAAATTACCTTATAATGATTAATAAACAATTCACTCTTTTTAAAATCTAATTTGTTGAAATTGTCTACAGCTTCAGCAATTTGAAGACTAATACTAAAAATACAAGACCATATTGAAAAAAAATATACATTTATGATTTATGTATTGAAATAAATAAATGTAGAACACAACTGCTATATCATAACAAAACATTCAATAATAATTAGCTAAAAAAAATCCGTCCCAATAATAATAGATATAATTAATTGCACTAGTGTTAATAAATTTGCACATGGTTATATCTAACCTAATATACGATTTGATCATTGCCATAAAGTGTATAAATCTAACAAAAATATGTGTACAAAATAGTAATAATGATGATAATAATAATAATAATAATAATAATAATAATAATAATAATAACAGAAGTCAATATGTCATAACAAACTTGAGCATAGTAGCTATTATCGAACAATATAATATATTTAATTGCATAACTGTTATTCATTTTATAATACTTAAGGTTTCACACTACACTAAACAATAATAGGCACATAAACACAATGTTTAACATAAATATTATTTAAGTAAATAAATATATAAATAAATAAATAAATAAATAAATAAACAACCATATAGTTTTGAAGTTTGCGTTCATGAACTATGACTAACACAATGAAATATTCATAACATACGATTATTATAATAAAACTTTGTTTTTAGGTGAAAGTGCTTTGGTCAATATTATTCTATTTGATCGTCATTTTATTGTTCGCTGTTTGTTCATGTTGGACAACATCAATGATATGTACGATGTCAGCAAATCATCCATTTTGTATCCCAAAGAAGTTTCACACAGTAACTTTGACCCTCTAACCAAATTACCAATTGTCATGTGGAAGTAGGTGTTTCCTGATGACCAGTTTGATATCCGAGTGAATGGGTGCGTAACCAAAATTTCCTAAAACAAACACAGTATAAAATATTACATAAAAGTAGTTGCTAGCCCAGAAAAATTCTTAAAAGTTCACAAAAGCATACTTTAGTTTGCGGGTGTATAAGACTAATTCCATGCTTATTAATAGCTATTAATAGAAGTTCTGGATAATTAGGCTCTGTAGTCTGTTTCACTTCAAAGAAAGCCGATCCAAACGTAGGCCAACGGTAGATTATTTTTAGGAATGTAATTTTTGCATCTTCAGCACTCATACCTAAAGATGATAGAAAAAACTATCAATAGAGAAAATTATATTTAGCCAATGGTCAAACCTGTGTCCTGGTTGTATGTAGCTACAATCACTCGTTTCCATTCCGCTGTATTCTGCACTTTGAACAAGTCTCCAGGAATTAGTTCGCGTAACATTTGACTATGAAAAAAAATACACACAAATTCTAATAAATAAAATCATCAAATCTGCAGGCAAATATTAGGACGATTTGGAATAACTGGGTGTTCCCCGGGTCCTCAGTGATTTTTCCAAAGTTCTATCTTAATCGTAAGATTATTTTTTAATATTAATTGTACATAGTATTGTATTATATATTATATACAATACAAATTTAATAATTTAATAATTACGGTATTGCCTGAAGTTCTTGTTTGCTTTCACCAAATCGAACCCTATAGATCAATGCAGCCAACCTAGTGGCCTCTTCTTTTGAACACTTGTGATATCCTACAATATTGATAAAATTAAGTAAAATAATAAAATAATATGATTAGATGATAAACATTATTGATTAATAGTTGCAATTATTTTTATATTATCTGTATACCACCTATACAGATATATTATCTTACCACGTAAGAGTTTTGGGAGTTCCTGGTGGAAGTGAAATATTAAATCTGCATTTCTGTCTTTGCCAGGTACCGTATTAGTCCACAATTTCTTCATGAAAAATACTTGATAAGTAAACTGCGGAGTTGTACCTATGTATTGAAAACCGTTATTATCTTCCATTATAATTACTTATAACAAACATCAATATCGTACAACATTTATAATATAAACACACTAACCGTCTCTAGTGGGTCTAGCCTTTTTAATCCAATCAGTAAGGTGACGGACAAAGTCAAAGAAAAAATCACCTTCAGGAACAGATATTACTTTATCAGCAATTTTCACAAACAAACTGAATCCTTCACTGGACCGTAATGTCAACCTTTGTGAAATATTAGTACAGAAATCTTTTGCCCTCGTCGATGAGTCAACCTCAAATGCTTCATCGGTGTCATCAGGGAAAAATACTTTGTGAAATATTTGTGTAGTTTTATGCTGTATAGCTTCAACTTCTACTTGATGTGGTGGGTATTTTCTCTGACCATTTCTTATAGTCTTTTGCAGTCGTTGTAAAGAATCTTGGGATATAGGATGACGTCGTGTCCGCAAAAATAAATTCAATTCCTATTCAAATGGGTAGATAGTCAAAAAAACAATTTAATAAATCAATTTAAATTGTATTACTTTTAATAAATTTTGACTGCATGCAAATAAACCAGTAGACAGCCACATTAATTCCCATGCTCTTTCTTCACTCAATCTGTTCCTGTTATCTGTCAATTGTCTCATAAGTTGACAATATATTTCATCTCTTAATATTTCCTAAAATTTGAAAAAAATATAATTATGATTTGTTATTAATTAATTAATTTAAATATCTGTTTATTGGTATAAAATCCTTTTACATGTTTTAAGGGTCCGTCAAATATTTGATCAGTATATTCATTAGGTAATCGTCTCTTTGCTGGTAAATCACCAGTATACTTCAACATGGCTGCAAATGCAAAGCATGCTTCCTCAGCTAATTCTTCTTTGCCAGCGAGTTTTCTCAACAGAGGCTGTTTCATTGGTTCTCTTGTGTGTCTCCATAAATCATCATTGTTAGCACGTCTTGCTGAACTCAACGTTAACGCTTTAGATACTGTACGTTTTGCTGGAGCTCTAAACATAAATTAATAGAAAATTAAGTAAAATAAAAAGCTATATGTGCATTGACCTTACTTACCGGAAGTGATCAATAGCATATTCCATTAAATTATGTGGCTTTTCTCTGGGTTCAGTGCCATTTATTGGTTGTGAATACAATTTACGACTTTGATCAGCAGCTTCTAAGCTAAATAGTGCCTAAAAGGTATTCATCATATATGTTTTTATTTGCCACTGAATTAATAAATTATCAGAAGAATATAATATAAATTAAATTAAAATACTTACCAATATATCTACTGGCGGTTTTGATAATGTCGGTAGTACATAAACTGTTTCCGCAGGGAAATCTCCTCTATCACCAGTTCTTTCACAGTAACCAACACACCAACCAGATGTCATAACAGTTTCTCCAGTACTCTCGTCTTCCAAAATAATTAAGTCACCTTTTTGAAAATTTAAAAACGTAGTTCCTTCACCTGAAAATATATATATAAATATATCACAATTCAAATTCATACACATAGTTTAATTTAATTTTACCAGGAGCTTTGTAATCCTGAACTGCTATAACAAATGTTGATCGTTTTTTCAGTCCTTCTAAGAAATAAACCACCAAGTCCCTTATGTCTTCTGCGTTTGGACTCTGAAATGTAAATTCTTCTCCCCGCACAGTGGAAAGTGTAAACGTTTGGGTAAACACTTTGGTAGTTCTGAAAAAAAAAATTATGAACTATTAACATCACTTCAATATACATAAAATAACATTTTAACATACTTTTGACTAGAGACAGTAGTTATTTCAGGAAATGACAACTCTAACAAAACTTGCTCCTGGTCATCAACAACATAGACACCAGTCCAGTTTACAGCAATTATTACATCATTTTTTGGTAAATTTGGACCTATTAATTATTAATAAGAAAAGTAATCAATAAAAATACAAAAACTATGCATGAAAATAAAATATTAGAGATAAAGCTATTATCATGAAACATTTTATATTAAATAACCATTTTAAATTGAATTAAACAAAAACATTGAAAATGCAATAATAATAATAAATTTAATTATTCTTAATGTATACAATTTGAAATTATATGTTTATTATAACTTTAAAGTACCTGAGTTTCTGTAAGCTTCATAAAATCTGGAGAATAATAATGGCCATTTAAATTTTGCATAGCTCACAACGTCTTCTTTTACTCTCAACTGAGCAACATTTTCTTTCAAATAATAGCTCTAAAATTGTTTAACATGCAGTACACAAAAAAAATTACAACCACATAAAACAGAAAAAAAAATAATTGTTAAAATCTACAAACTAATTGTTTTATAAAGAATAAAACCAAGTATATAAAAATTTCATGCCAAACAAATTATCAACTATAAATGGTAAAAATAAAAGATGACATAAATACAAAATATCTGTTAATGCCTTAATAGCACACTTCAAAATACACATGGTTAATAATAATGAATTGTATTTTATTTATATTCACGAGAATAACATTTTATCAAATCCATTACTGGCTCAACCGCCCTCCTTAAGTAGAGCCTAGTTTTCTATAAATGTGTATAATGGTTTATATTACTATTACAGTTGAGATGCAATAACTCGAACAACTTGACAAATCAATTTTTTTGTTACTCCCTTCAAGATTAGGTTAAAGCTTGATCATCTCAAAGCAATTTTAATCTTTGTTTGACCTTAAGTTATCATGGCTCAACTGTAATAATTTATCAATAAATTTATTGTTCCTTCAGCATTCAAATTATTTCTATGACAGTCAACACAAATTAGGAAATTATCGAAATAGTACAAGTTGTATGTCCATAGGCATAGCCAATTTGTGTCACACATAAATTAACTATGCATACAGGCAACAGGCATTAGACTTATCAAGCACTGTATTGTACATTTGTATGTCATACATTTTAACCTGGTTTTACAATATTATTAATAATTAATTAAGTAATAACATTTATTCTAGGGGTGTATAATGGTTTCAGTCGTTAACATAATTTAGAACTCTCTAATTCAATTACCAGAAACTTCTAATTCCTAAACATACATCTAATGCCAAATATTTGTAAGTAAGCAAATATTTACCAAGTGAATTACTTTATCTTACTGTCACCTATAATTTAATATATTTCTCTCTAAACATATTTGAATGATTTGTATACAATAAGACTTACTATAGTAAAGCTTCATATGAAACATGAAATTTTTTTACACTATGTTTCGATAAATTAATTAATATAGTCAAAACCATGCAAGTGAAAAGTGTAATTAAATCATATTTTTTAAGCTTTGTCTGTTTCTGCTGATAAAACACTAATAGAAACAATCATGCAACATTTCTCATACTTTAATAATTAAAGTGCTATTACTTAGGTCTATTAAAATAAACTGTCTATAAACCAAACCAGATAAGAATTTATGAAGTATAAATAGAATGATTAATTAATTGTGATTAGTGGGTAGTATATTCATTTTAATTGTGTTCAATATAAAATAAAAAATAACATACATCAATAAAATATATGAAATTACCATTTTTAATTCTAGTTAATAATTTTAAAATTAATAGACAACAGAACCATCATATATTACTTTGGATAATTGTAGCAATACTTTGATAGAAATATGAAATGAATAGATGATTGTATTAGTAAGAATGGCTATACATTCAAAAACTTAAATTATTTATATTATTTTAAAATAAATTGTAGTAAATAATTTCATAAAATCAATTTAGAAAATATTCAGAATGGTTTTTAGGGCAGCTGTTATTTTTAACACTGTTAATATTGCATGCAGAAAAATAGATACTATTGAAGAATTTTTGGCTATATACACATTAGCCTACCTTACCTCAGTTGTTAACTGTCCCTGAAGCAAACTCATCCATTGACCTTTAACTTATAAAAAAAAAAACAGTTCTAAGTTTTTGGAAAATTCATCCAGACCACAACCACAGTGAAATGCTAAATTAAACTGAAAAACCACAACCTTATCTAAAGTTTTATAGAAACCAACTAGTTTCGGTTTATTTAAAATTTGAAACAAAATCGATAGATACTTCATTGCATTTGGTGTTTTTGTTTGACAAAACAAAATATTATACATTTCTTACCTTCTTGTAAGCTTGAATTATCAATATATTCCACCTTTCAATTGATTTCTCAGCATTTGTTAAACAGTAATCAGGAATATAATTTGGTAAGAGATTTAATAACCTCTCATTATTAAGATCAGTGTTATGTTCAATGTAATACTGTTGTGCTGCAATCATGGCTAAATCCTCTTCCTTTAAATTCATCAAATTGGAATCAAAAATATATTTTTTTTTTTAAATAAGTCTAATAATTCACATACCTTATCACATCGGTATTCACCAAATTTGACTCCTCGAACAACTTGTTGATATATCAAGTTAGTCGCTACTTGATCTTCTGTAGGTTCATGCCAGGGAGCAAAGATTTCTTTTCTAAAAAATAGTCTCCAAGGTGCATTGCGTTCTTGAGCTCCTTGTTCTTTAGCGTACTGCTCGCATTGAGAAATCGCATCCATAACATGATCGCCACCACTTCCCAATGATGATACCTATACAAATAATTAATAATTGTTATTTATAACATATATAATAACAAACAAAAATATTATTTCAGAATTACACACTTTATCAAATAATGCTATATAAAGGGAAAATCCAAATTGATCTTTCAGTCCAATTTTATCGGAGAGCTGATTACAGAGTTCTCGAGCTGTAGTTGCAGAATCAGCCAACAGTGTTTTTGTATTTCCGTCCATGAAAGTGATAGGAAGCATGATTGGCTTTTTAGATTTTGTAGCCTAAAATTAATTAAATTGATTTATATAATTGCTTTAGTTATATTAATTGTAATTTCACAAACCTGTAATTCTAACCAACTGGGAGGTTGATTTCGTGTACCATTGTTAAATGTGCGTTTTAAACGATCCTCACAGTAAGGAGCATACCCAGGTGGGCCCTCTCTTATAAACGCCCTGAGGTAATTAACAAACCTTTCAGAAGGAGCAAAACACCCAACACAAAGTGATAATAAAATCCATCCTCTAGCATGAGAAGATTTTGATGGATTTGCAGATAATTGTTTGCAAATTTGACAATATACTTCATCCCTAGAAAAAAATATATACAATTTAAATTTATTACAGGAGAATGTTTTATAATTTATTACCTTAGTTCTGCTCTTAAAATACCATGACCAATAATAAAATGTAATTTTTCTAAATTAGATGTAGGACGTGCATCTAACCAAGACTGATAACTATCAGCTGCAAATTCATCATCTTGTAATCTTTTTCGTACATCTTCTCCTAGTTTATTCTTCCGTTTTAAAGTAAGTGATACCAACTTATGACGTATTGATCGAGGTTTTGTTTTTAAAAAGCTTTCCTGCTTTGACATCATAAAAAGAAAACATTAAAATATTTCTAATTTTTATACAAATAAAATATTCATACTGGATCCATTCCAATCATTTGAGCTTCATAAAATTCTTTACTTCGAATGAAGTTACGACCCAAAGTTGCAGTTACTTTGGACATAACTGATGTATTATCTCTTTCCATTGTATGATACCTTGGCTCAGATAAATCTCCACAGAATCGTAAAATTGTAATCCAAAGTGCTTGAGCAGCCTAAAAAATTGTATTTAATAAGATAAATTTTTGTTTGATTAATGTGACATTAAAATTGTTACAAACCAATTGATCTCCCTGAGCATGTAGTGGCAGAAGAGGGTGCTTGAGAGGTTTTCTTGAACATTGATGGGTAATATTTCCTTGAAAGTATGTTGCAGCAAACTTTTGAAATTTAAACTCACTCAAGTCTTCTGTGTCATCAATAACTGGTTGCATATCAGTAATAATATCTTGTTGGTCATCAGTTTTTGAAGTAGGAAGGTCCTAGATTAAAAATAAGTGATTAAATTACTATTACATTTGCAAATAGTACATATTTTACATTAAAAAAAATTCCATTAAGAGGACATTGTACTTATATACAATATGTTGTATTCGTGATACAAACGCATAATATACCTAAACGTACGCCCGGGCAGTTAAAATGTTGTATTGTTAGCTTAAATGTTAGAGTGAATTACCTTATTATCAAACATTAATGTAAGAACATAATCTGTGTTTTCTCATTGGTTTTATACTATATTTTAATTTTTAAGTGAATTTTGAGCAATTTCCAATATTAATATTTTATATACTTACAACTCACTTAAAAATTAAAATATCCTACAAATCCAAAGAGAGAACACAGATAATATTCTTACATTTAAGTTTAATAATAGGTGAATTTCCCTCTAACATTTGGGCTAACAATACAAAATTGAAATGGCTGGGCACATACATATTGGTACATTACGCATAAGACGGAGACAACACATGCGGGTACAACATCCTCTACTGGGTGATTCTTTTATCAAACAACACTCATTATTTCAAAAAGTGTAAATTTTTTGGAAAATATTTTTTTTACATAGTTTCAAGTCGCTTATAAAACAATGTTTTTATTAAAAAATTATATTTTTAAATATTTTTTATCCTTATATGTTGTTATATAAGCGACTTGAAACTATGTAAAAAAATATCTTCAAAAAAATTTACACTTTTTGAAATAATGAGTGTTGTTTGATAAAAGAATCACCCAGTATAGTAAATATTTTCTAAAATCCATAGTTATTGTAATAAGTTAATGATAATGATAATGTTTTTATCAGAAAAATTTACTATTCAATAGGATCCAGAAATTTAAAATTATTTATAACTTTTTATTGTTATCACATGCATATTCAGAACATACATTAATACAATATTATAGTGTAAATTGTTTAAAATAACCTAAGCATACCATAAAAACAGATGTTCCTCTAGTTTGCATAGGTGCTTCACTACTAGAATCTGGGAGAAAATCAAACATAGCTTCAACAAGTTTACTGTCATCTACAGGTTCGTCTTGTTTTCTTGCAGCATTACTAATAAGATTTTTTTTAATTTCCATTTGTCTTTTTTCTTCTTCCTCAATTTCATGTTCTTTTCTTTCAAGTTCTTCCATGCGTTCCTAAATATTTTTGGGAAAATATATTATCCATAATACAAAAATAAATGCCTATCTTAAATACTAACCCTATAATTTTGCTCAGCAATTTCTTTAGCCCTTTTATTTCCAGCTTCCTTGAGTTCTCTTTCTTCTTTTTTTTTTAACTTTAAAGCCTCAATCTGTATTCTAAATTCAAACTAAAATAAAATATAATAATTAATAAACATAAAATAATTATTATTAATATTAAATAAGCAAAATTTACTTTAATTTTATTAAAACGCCGCTGAGCAATGATTCGTCTAACATGGGCTTGAATTTTAACTATAGCCCACATTTTATGAGCGCACATTCTTCTGACTAGATAACCTCGAGATTGTGCTTGTAATCCTACAATATGACCACGTAAATGCTTAAATCTATGAGATAACACACGTGATCTGATAACCGCTTGCAATCTAAGATAACCGACAAGCATATGTCGATATTTTTTCTTTTGAGAGTACCCTCTAAAATGTTTTTGAATCAATACTGCGGCTGATCTCATTTGTAAGTATCTGAAATATTATCATTATAATACTAAAACAATATTGATTTTTTTAATAAGAAATATTTACCTTCTTCTATATACCCAACCCTTTATTGACTTTTGAATGATAATGATCTTTTTGGTTAAAACTCTATCTCGCTCTTGCTCTAAAAATAAATCATGGGCATCTTTCAGAAATATTTTAGAATTTCCCAGTTGATAATCAGACCGTCCTAAAACCGCTTGGCAAATATGAGATGTCATTTTCTTACAATCAGTCTAAAAATAAAAATAAAATTAATTTCTTTATAAACATTTTTAATCAAACATTATTTTAAACCTTATGTGCTGGAGGTATTCCAGGTATCAAAAAACGGTAACGTTCAATAAATTCATTAAAACCATGACGTATAGGATATCCAGCCCGCCTAATTCGTATAGTTTCCATCATACCCGAATATCGAAGTTGACGGCAACACAGACCTCTATCAAACATCTAAATAATACAAACAAAAAGTTTTCACCTGTTTTATAACTTTTGTATCATCTAAATAAAAATAAATAAATACCATTGGTTTTTTTAACTCGTTTGGTTTAATACATCGAATGAAAAATGGTTGACAAGTACACAAGGTTTTCATTAAAAGATCTAAAGATTTTTTAAACTGTGTAGATAGTGTTGGAGCTCTTTTTCTAGTTTCTGAACCCATTCCAATGTCTTCAGCAAATAAAACTTTCAAATACTTATTTGTAGAAATATGTATTAATTGTAAAAGGTCCGCACTAAATGTATCACGATTTTTTTCCAGAAAACCTATTTGATAAAAATAATTAATCAATAACAAAAATGTAAAATGACTTTATCATACTACCTCTAGTGTCGTAAAAAACTACACCAGCAAAATGATTTAATCCAAATGATGCATTCATATCAGATTTCGGTTTTAAATAATTTCGATGATTTCCGTGTGTTTTATGCATTTTGGCTAGCATAGTTTGATCTGTACCCTATACAAACAGTAATTATCTCATAAAATAAAACAGTATATAAAGTTTTTAAAAGAAAGTTTATCTTTTTTTAGATTAATGAAAATACCATTCACATTTTTTTTTAATATTTTACACTACCTACTAAAATATACTACTATTATTACTTCTAAAACATAATCAAATAAATCAAATATTTACAAGGAAACTCAGATGTACTATAATTGAGTTATTCTTGAATATAACCACCTATTTGATTATATTATAACTAAATAACTTTAATTAACCACTCCATGAAATATAGTTATATTATTTAAGAATGCACTTAAAAAAAAAAGATACAAATTTACATTCCCTTTTTTTATAATAATAGAGTTAAAAATTTAACTTACTTTGGGAAATTTGGACTCTTCATCAATCAGAGCCATGATATTAAGTTGTTTAGTAGCAATGAGGTCTAAAGCATCTTGGTTATCAACAAATTCTATATGTTGCCAACTAATATGTTCATGATTATATTCTTGTTGTTCCAGTTTGAAAATATGTTGAACGAAAAATTGTTGTAAATTTTCATTAGCAAAGTTTATACAAAATTGTTCAAAACTAAACAATAAAAAAATGTTAATTAACAACCAATTTAAATTAAAATTTATTTTTAATTACCTATTTGTCTGAAAATTTTCAAATCCAAATATATCTAAGACACCTATAGCACTTCTTGTTGTACTTTTTGGTTTATAAATAGCATTATTGATTTTGCTAACTATGTGAACAAATAACCGACCATAAATTCCTTTTACAAATGCATCTCTAACATCAACAGACTGTTCTCTTGATAGTGTTGAAATCTTGTATAAATGAGACACAAATTATTACTGTTAACAATTATTGACAAATATGAAATTTAACAAAGTTCAATACATACCACAGTTTCACCATGAGCAAATATGGTTTTTCTAGTCAATGCATCAATTAACGACTGAACAGGAACTCCCACTAAATTTGCTACTCTTGTAACATTGATACGCTCAGGAATTTCAGTAGCATCCAAATTATCTAAAGTTTAAGTTAATATCAAAAAAATTGATCGCAAATATAAATAATATAATAATAATAACCAATTATTGCAGCTTTATATTTTATATTTCCTATATGAAGTAGTGCAGCTAACAATCTTAATATTTCCCAAATTTCTTGATCAGAAAATAATAACACTTTCATGGCTGATCTGATATCAGAAAATTCGGCAGCATCATCACGCCCCTCACAAGTAATACTTCCACCCTACAAAATAAGAAATAAACATACAATAATGGTGTTAAAAACTATATGTAAAAATTAACTTACACCAGTAAGGTATTTATACTGTGATGCATCAGAAAGTTCTAATTTTTCTTTATCCTCAGCAGAAAGGCCAGCTAATACACAATAAAATATGTGATAATTTCTTTCATCTTGAGATTGAGACACAATACGAGATTTTTCAAGCAGATATTGTTCAATTTTTGCCCCTTCGATGACACCATTGTTATTAAAATGTATATCAATGTATTTACCAAACCTCGAAGAATTATCATTTCTAATAGTTTTGGCATTACCAAAAGCTAGAAAAACAATGTTAGTGATAATAATATAGGTTCAAGCTATAAATATATTATAACTAACCTTCAAGAATAGGATTTGCTTCTAATATTTGTTGTTCAATCCAAGAATGTTTACCACTAATAGCAGCTAAGTATTGTAAAATTAACTTTGTACTTTCAGTCTTACCAGCTCCACTTTCACCACTAAAATTAAATTGGAGGTTTTAACTATTTAATTATAATTAACTAAAGAAGAACAAAAAACATACCTGATGACAATACATTGATCTTGACCAAATCTCTTCATATGAGTATAACTATTATCGCCAATAGCAAAAATATGAGGAGGTAATTCACCAATTTTTCTATCTTTGTACAATTTTACTTGCTCGGCTGTGTAAATTGGTAGAATTTGATAAGGATTAACCGCAACCAAAATTGATCCAGTATAAGTCTAAAATAAAATAATATTGCCATAGATAATTTACAATAAGCTTAAGACAAACATTAATAATAAAGTTACATTTATTAATATTAAAACTTACATATATTAAATTTTCATTGTATCTAATAAGTAAATTCCTCAATATCCCTGCTTCATGTAAGTCACCCAATGATATCATATCCTCTACTCCATGAATTGAAGTAGGGTGCATTGCTTTAATTCGCCTCTCTGGCGTAAGCCATAATTCCTAGAAATTAAATAGACAATAATTTAAAAATTGAGTGAACTTGAAAAGATTTCAATAAATGGGAGGAATGTTAAAATATTATGTTAAAGTTTTAACCTAAACAATTTTCACAACCACACATTTTGATTTTATCATAATAATATTTAATAATAATAATAAAAAATAATTATTGTAATTTATATTCTTACAAAAAACCCAGCCGATTTAATATTTGTGCACAGAATAAATATAAAACAATTTGAAAATAATATTCAAATTTTAAATGCACTTTTTTCAAATAATACAGACTTGAAATCGATAACATTACAGAAAATCACAAAACATGAAAAAAAAACATAACAAAAACATGTGAAAATATGCCAGCCCTGGTTTTGTACACTAAATCAATATTTTTTAGCTAATTTATGATTTATTGTTAATTTTAAGTATGGTATTATTAAATCTTATAATTCAGAGGGCTTTAATAATATCAAGAATTAAAATAATATAAGTTTTATACTTTGTACATATAGTTTCATACATGAGATAAACATTTAATTAATATTACTACTTTCTAAAATTCCATTTGAGTAGAAAAGTATTATAATTTCAGTGCATTAAAAATTAAATTCTAAAATGTTTAAAAATATATTTTGAAATACACAACAGAAAAACAGGAAATGGATTTTCAATTTGTAGTAGGTATTACTGTTGTTTATCGTAAGTAAAGTACCTAATTAATTTTCTTTCTTTTGCAAAATGAACTTTTACTGTAATAATACTTAAGGAATTAATTTTGTTTAAAACACGGACAACAAGCATCTAACATTTTTTTAAAATTGAAATTAGCCGTCTGGAAGGGTTTTTTTTTTGCGTAATAGTTTAAAATGCAAAAATAAACTACCTACTTTCAACAGCCTTAAGAAATTTCATTTAAATATAAATTGACTAATAGTTTTTCAAAACAAATAAACTGAAAAAAAGTTAGCTACAGTTAAGTGTTAAGACCTCTGTATAATAAATAAATTTACTTTGTTAAATCATCTGGCTAACATGGTATCATCACTTTAATAATTTATACATTTTAAACACATATTGTTGCTGTTAATTGTTGTGATGTACCTACTGTAGTAATTAATAAAGATAATAATAATCATACAAAAATCTTATAATTAGTTATTTTTTATCGAAGATAGGAACAACAATAATTATGGTTTATGATTACGTTTAAAAGGTACATCAAAAAATAATTTTAAATACAATTTAAAATGATCTTTTTTCCAAAAATATCTCATAAGGAAAGACATGTATTGAACCCTTCAGTTTCGTTTTTTAGTTAACACGGAATTTGTTTTATTTAGTTAACTTTTAGCTAGAGGCCCCAATATTATTGTCTAGATAATATCCTAAAATTAAAACTAAAACACAAATAATACCTTTAGGCTTTTATAATAATATACTACAGTCTACAATAGGTAAAGGGTTTAACTCATAAACATGAGATCATATAATACATATGATCTCATAATAATAATTATTATTATAAATAAGAAATACATTTGTTTCTTTTGATATTGTATCATTAATTTATTACCATTTAATAAATTTTATTTTATTAACATACCCTTCCATCGTCATCTTTAACTTGAATACGTTTTCCTTCGGCTGAAATAACTCTAGCGCCAATTGCAACATCAAATTCTCTTCCAGAAATTGGCTCTATCCAAATATAATCTCCCTAAAATAATTTTTAATTAATAGTGAATGTATTTAGAATAAATGTAGACAATTTGTTTAAACATACTCTAGTTACTATAACCATAGCGGATGTAGAATGGAAACTTGCAGTGTATTGTCATACCATCAAAACATTCATCTAATAATAATAATAATAATATTCAATATGTAAATAGTAATTTTATAATATTATGAATAATAAAAGACCGGAATCATATGTGCACAAAATACCAAGAGTTATATAAAATATCATGCACATATACATAGCAAAAGTGGCCAATTATGTAATTATGGACCAACATAATAATTAAATTAAATAACTAGATAACAAGTAATAGGTATATTTTCCGTTATAATAACAAATTTAATCATAAAATAAGTAGTTACATAAAAGTAAGTAGGTACCTATCATTTATATTTATGGCTGGTAAATTGTAATTTTTGAACAAAATAATATACCTATATAATTAAAATTGAAATAGTATATAAAATATTAAATGAAGAATGCTAGATCTTTTCGCATTATAAACTGAAAACAAAAAAACTAAAAATTTAATGAAATCACATCTGTATTAAAGACTTCAAAAATATATATAGAGATATAGATAATAGATTTGGTACTTATGTGTTATCTCGACTACCCAAATATTTCCAAGACTACCTGGGAGAATCACCCGTGTTATCTCGACTACCCAAATATTTCCAAGACTACCTGTTAGATTCTATTTAAAAACGTACATTCCCGCGTTGTAATCTGTATCATCGTAATTGACAATTTAATTTTGTTTTCGATGTACAATTTACTATCCACGTACCTTGCCATCAGACCAGGTATTTATGTCGTCAGTCAGTCGACAGCCGTCCTTATTACGTCCGTCAGTTATAATTTACTGTATAGTACATACGCGCTACGTCTAGCCAACATGAATTTTTTTAATTTGCCATCTTCAGAAAAGGAAGCTGTGCAATTTCTTCAAGAACGCGGAGTGTTGCCAAGTGTACGGATTTGTCAAAACAATCACTTGGCAAAGTTATATTTTGGAAAAGAAATATTTTGGAAATGCAATGTTAAGAAATGCCAAAAAAAGGTAAATGTACGTAATGGCAATTGGTTTGCAAAATCACGAATATCATTTACGATTGCCGTACGATTTATATATGGGTGGTGTCACGAAATGACGAGTGCGAAATGGTGCGAGCAACAATTAGGTTTAAGCTTAAATACAGTTATTGACTGGAATAATTACCTACGCGAAGTATGTGCAATGGCTGTTGAAAATAAACCACAAACAAAAATAGGTGGACCGGGGAAAATCGTCGAGATCGATGAAAGTCTATTTTCGAAAAGAAAAAACCACGTTGGCAGGGTACTTCCCGAACAGTGGATATTCGGAGGAATTTGTCGAGAGACAAAAGAGTCATTTTTAATAAAAGTGCCAGATAGAAAAACAGGAACTCTGGTTTTGGCGATCCAAAATAACATTCAACAAGGTACCACGATATATTCAGATTGTTGGCGTGCTTATAACACCGAATTATTAAAATCATCCGGCTTCGATCACTATACCGTAAATCACAGTTATAATTTTGTTGACCCAACCACAGGAGCACACACACAAACGATTGAACGCCTATGGGGATCGGCAAAGTGGCGAAACAAAAAGCAGAGGGGAACAGCTCGTCATCATTTAGATTCCTATCTTACTGAATTTGTTTGGCGACAAAACATTGGAGACGATACACCATTTGATCAAATTCTAATGGATCTTAAAACATACTTCCCTCCACAAAAAAATTATTAATTACCATACATATTATTTTTACCAGATTTTTAAATACATTATTTTGTAATAATTTTTTATAACCGTAAAAACGTAAATAATTATTAATTACATGTTTTATTATTATAACATTATTATTTATTACCTATGTCCTATATTGTTTATTATGTTTTTATTTTTAAGTACTTATACATTATTTTGTAATAATTTTTTATAACCGTAAAAACGTAAATAATTATTAATTACATGTTTTATTATTATAACATATTACCTATGTCCTATATTGTTTATTATAACTTTATTATAACTTGTGGTAGTCGAGATAACACGGTTGATGATAATAGGTAGTCTTGGAAATATTTTGGTAGTCGATATAACACGGTTGTGCACCCAAGGTAGTCGAGATAACGCGTAAGTACCATAGATTTATACCTACTATACCAGTAAATTAATGACTTATAAAATATAATGAAGTAATCTTTTATCAGTGTGATGTTATTATCTACCTACTGTAAATAAATAAACATCTCAAACAAAAATATAAACACAGTTATTTTTTAAAATTGTAAGAAAAATGCAAAGTATGTGCAATTTTATCAATATATGTCATGTCATAGATAACCCACAAAATTTAGATAAAATTGTATTAAGCAAAATCAGTGACAGCCAGACACAACAAAGGCCCATGGTTCAGTTTTTTTAAGGGGACCAATAATTAACAGCATTGGGCCATGTAAAAAAAATTGATCCTAAAAATTACATACTGTTAAATATTTCAATAAATACTTTGCGGAGTCCCTTCTCCCCTATATAGAACAGGAACACGCCAAGTGAATAAAATATTCATGAGAACCTAAAAAATAAAATAAAAAAGAGGGGGCCCTGCAGCACTTGTGGCCCAGAGGCCATGGCCAGGTTGACACTGAGCAAAATAAAATGCCTATAGAATCAGTTTAAAACACCAACATTTTTAGATACGTCCAGTATGAACAAGCAAATGTATATAATTTCGGGTATCTAATAATAACAAACAAAAGATAAGAGTTTTTTAAGTTAATTATGTGTTGCATTGTTTGTGCTCATGATTAATCAATACACTTAACACTCTCATACTGCTGTGTAAAATAATTTAATATACTTATTTGAGAGCATATGTCAACAAATATCAATTAATCTATATAACTTAATATATTTTTATACCGTTGCTCATAAATTTATTTCAAAATCAGTATGAGTACTAACTACATGACGCTAAATAAGTAAATACAAAATATTACTCTTTTTTAATCAAATAGTAGGTAGATTAAGTAACAATCAAAAAAAAATATTGAAGAATTTATAGAATATCAGTCAATACATTACAATTTACAACTTAAATGTTATTTAAATAATTACACGAGAGATCCAAAAAAAAAAAAATAATAATAATATATTCACCTTTCTGTATTGAAACATTAAAAACACAATACAATACAAAATTCAGCCAACCAGAACAGTAATTAAATCAGTACATTATGTATATCCTATTCATCACACGGTGTTGTACCTATATGACTGATAGGAAATGATGGGTTTTAGAATTAAAAATATAAGAAAATCAGATATTTTGTATGGTGGGTAAAATAGGGTGAGTAGAACAAGCAGATATGGTAAATTTACAAAAGTGCGTTTTCACGTATTATCATCAATACTCGCACAATAAAATTCGTACAAAAACCAAAAATTCTACAAATTTAGATAGGTAGGTAGGTCTAGTCGTCACGGTACGGTGCATAGTGCAATAATAATTCCGTATAGGTATAATAGCTGAGTACTCACTGCGATTATAATATCCTAGCCGGACCAACACGACAAGTAGTCGAGTAGTGTAGTGTTTTCGTCAACGCTTTTCTTTTCTCGACCGGTTCGCCTCACGACAAACCCCTTTGGGTTTTATGCAAAATTACACACGCACCGACAAACGGACTCACACTGAAAGTGATAATAGTAACTAACTTATATTGTATGTTTATAATTTATTATAGATTATTTTCCAAAAATCGGTCGGTGGCAGATCTGATGTTACGCACGCACTGCCAAGTGTTAACTCGATGCGTGTTATCTATTATAATATGATATAATACAATATAATTTTCGAGTACACACACACACACAGAATGTTCGTGCGTAAGTACGCGTTTTATCGTAAGTAGAATGAGAACTTAATATATTAATATCAAATATTGTCGGCCGATCTTGCGCGTGTGAGAGCGTTTATCCGGGCGGCCAACAACGACTAAATATTATAGTCGCGCTACTCACTACAACTATTACAAATTTACAGACGACGCCGCCCGCCCACCGCTACCGCTCCGGCTACCACGACTACCGCCGCTACCACTACCAGTGTTGACCGATTGGGTTTCCGAGAAATCGCCGCCGTCGCCGCCTGGAGAATTAAAAAAAAAAAAAAATAACCTAATGTACGGAATCGTTTCTACGTTCACGCCGGCGATGCGGCGAATCCGTTTCGGAATCGTCACGATAACGGGATCGGCCGATGATAACCAATCGGACACAGACAATTGGCCCTGCCGCCGTTCGCAAGTGGTGGTACATGTGATTTGTCGCGTTTCCACGTTCACAACCGAGGTGGCGAGATATTATATCGTCTGCCGAGTGCCGAATACCGTCGCCGATCGCACAGCAATTAATAATAATAATACCTATTATAATATTACACACTGGTACGCACACACGCGCGCGCGCGACGAGACCACGTAATTAATTAATAATATAATATTATTTTCCCGTTGTCGGTGTGCCCGAGCCCGTTCTCCCGCAGTCCGCCTAGTCCGACCTCCATCGAATCTGGTAAATTTATTTTTATTTTTTTCTCAAACCGTTTCACATAGGTTATACATTTTGACAAAAATCCGTCTACGACATTCGTGACGTTATCGGGTTATGTTAGTCTCTTTTAATTGTAACGACAGTAAACGGTCCTTGCATATAGGCCGATCCGTTACCGGGACGGTTTATTTGGTTTTAGGAAATATTAATTTCGTGTTCATTTTTTTTTTTTACCAGTTCCTCAGAAGCAATCATGGCCGATTTAGATAATTTTTTTGCAAAGAAAGACCGCAAGAAAACCAAAGGCCAAAAATTCGCCACCTCCTCGGATAATATGGCTACCGGACAGGAAGAGTTACAGAAAAAACAAGACAAACAGAAAAAGGAAAGATCTGAAAGGTCGCTTACAATTCAAAATAATTATGCGACTGAAACAGACAACAAAGCTTCTGCCAAGAAGGTATTGATCAATGTTAATTTTCTCGAATCATTCAAACCGTTAGCAATATGTATACTAAAATAATATATATAACATACTTACCTAGCTTTGGGTTATTTAAAATACTTTCAGCCATTTAGAAGTAGGTAAAATATGTTTTCTTTGTGATTATAGACCATTTTACTGTAAATTTCAATTGGTACCTATAATCATTGATGTCTTTTAAGTATTTTTTTATTTTATTACTGACTATTGTATATTTGTACGTACTTAATAAACTAATTCCTGTAAATTAGATTAATAGCGTAGGTATGTGATTGTTATAGGTAACAAATCATAATTTTAACAACGACTGTTAGACACAATGAAACACAATATTTGGTACCTACTTTTATTATTATTTATCATCAATAAATTCTAAATTATTAAGTATGGGCTATTTCTTTTTACATGTATCCTATAAAGCATAATAGTTGAATATTTGTAACATACCTACCTATTACCTGTATATTACATAGATTAGGTACTACCCGTTGAAGTGTTTTTAATTTGCATTTAGGGTATAGAACTCAAAAAATTCATAAGTCAAATTTGCTTTTATTTTTTTGAAATTTTAGTTATCGAGATTCTACTGTATTTAGTATTAGTAGGTACCTAATAATTTTCAATCGAATAATTTTGTTGTAAATACTTTTTCTTACAGCTGGAGGAAGAATGGAATGAATACCAAGAAGAAATAAAAGACTATACAACACTTAAAATGCAAAATTTGACAGCTGACTGTCCTTCTAACTTTACGGATAACAATGAAAAAGATGATGAAATAGAATTTGAAGAAAACGAGGCGGGAGAAATGGTGCCAAAACGAAAAAATGCAGGACCTTGGAAAGTAAACGAACCTGAACAACCTCCTCCACCACCAAAAGGTAACTTTTTATTTTTTAACTACGGAATTAAAATCTTATACTTTGAGGTGGAAAGATAAATTTAGAATAAACTCATCTTTAAATATTCGTTTACCTATATTCCAAGGCTTTGCATCCGAAATATTTATTTGGGTTTGGATTTCTTGTGCTATATGGGGCTATTTGGTCGGGTGTTTAAACACTGTAATATATATGTAAACAAAAGTTTGGGTGATCATGACCATTATTACTCAGACTAATATTTGTTAATACAGATGTTGAGTAGTTCAAGAACAACTTAAATTAAACATCGTGTAGGTAACCTACAACATTTTTAGGTTATAAGATATTCTTTTGAATAATATTATTCGATTTCATCAGACATTAACTGATATACAATACTACTGAATTAATGGATGCAACGAAGCATAATAAATACAATAAATGTTAAAATGTGATGATCAGATAACTAGAAAAATTGAATAATTAATAGCAATTGATTATAAAATTATTGGTATCAATAATTATAATTAAATAATTAATTACAAAGTTGGAGTAAACAAAAAAAAAATATATTCAACATTACATATTATCACATGATTTGTAAAATAAAAAACGTTTTGAATTAAGTAGGAACTTAATAGACTATAGACATACCTAGACTTAGATAAATATTTTCCCATAAAAATTATTCTTATAATCTGATTAACAAATAAGCTACCTATTTTGAATTTTTACAAAAAAATTTAAATTAAATTAAAAATTTTATTTTCACTATATTTAAAAAAATATTGATTAGAACTTAAGTTTTTTGTCGTATGTCATGTCTTCCTGTTACATCCTGATAACTTATCTTATTATAAATTATTGTTTTACAATTTCTTTGGAAATATTTAAAATTTAATAACATATAGATAGGTGTTCACAAATGTAAAATTAATGTATAATAATTTAATTTTCCAACATTAGGTAATCGATAAATAAATGATTTATTATGTATCATATTTTCTATTTTCTTTTTTGAGGCCATAGTGCTGTGCTGAGATGACTATGTATTTCATCACAGATTTGATTTATATTTTATGAGATAGTGCAAAATAATGTAAATATAATTCCACACCAGTCATCATTATCCGTGCTGACATTCATAGGTCCACACTCCACACACTACCTAGTACATTACTAAAATACATTTCTAATAAAAATATGAGTACCTATACTAAAACGAATGACACTAATTAAAGAACATTTAATAATAATAATAACAAGTCCAAGTAATAAATAATTACTATTGTTTATTTTATTTTAATGAAATGTTTCTATTTTTGTCAGCTAATGTATTTCAAAAATATCCTCACTCTTAATATTTGTTGAAATATCTTTTTCGATGTAGGTACATTATAGATATACATATACAACTGTAACCTCGACTGTACCTATCCTGTAGCATTGATATTCTAGGCCAGCTACTTTTCGCACAAGTAGCTGAGCTCTGTATACATATTGTTAATCTAACTAAAATAAAAAAATATTGAATTGTTTTATGACATAACTCAGACATAAGCGCAAATTGGGGGGATAAGCCCCCCCCCCAGCCAAAAACCAATGACATACAATTTTAATATGCTATATTGCAATGGTCTGCTCTGCTTGCATTTAATATATTCAGCCCCCTCAAGCCAAAAGTTGAAATTGCGCCTATGAATTCAGATAACATATTTTTAATTAATGTCCGTATCAGACCCAATATTGGGTTTTGTAGCTACAACAATATTCTTCGCTGCTGTCGTTTTTGAATGAAAATATTCTTTAGTACATTGGACACATTAATTAGTATTTTATTATGTACCTGAAATTTACAGTTTTTATTTAACCCTACGTTAGGCGCATCGACATTTGTTATGTGGTTGGGCGCGTGGGGGACAGTTGTCAACCATAAATAAATTATTGATTAAAATTAGAAATATTTATAATTTATTACTTTTTTTATTATTAAACGTCAAAATTTACATTATTTATTTCTAATTATTTTATTACTTATGATTAGAAAGATATAAATAGCTTAAACATTTTTTTCACTTCGGTAAATGAGTCAGAAAACGTTTCACGTATGTCTAAATGAGAGGTACTAGAGATAACAAAGTCGTAAATTGCATTCGATAAGAATTATCTAATTTTAAAATATACTGGGTGACATCTGTCAACCGCGCGCCTAACGTAGGGTTAAAAATGATCGAAACTCACTTTAAAATTAAAATTTGTAAAAAAAAACTTATGAGATTCATAGATTCATTCATTCATTAGATACATTCATTAGATAATATAATTATTTCTAAAATTGACTCGTGGCTCGGCTCGCGACTACCGACGAACCGGGAACGCTTGTGACGAGCGCCACGAGGCCTTATGGGCTACGAGGTGATCACACACAAGCTGAGCGGCGCGACTCGTGCTGTACCAAACCTCACCATTCCCACTGTGTGTTTATGATTGTTTATGTTTTTTACAATAATTTAATTTTCAACCATATAATGATCATTTTTAATTATCAATATTTTACATTCTCACTCAAAAATTAAAATATCGTAAAATACCTCGGAGAGAACTTACCTTTAAAGAGAATCGCGGAAAAATATTTAAATATAAATATGAACATATGTTTACATAATATATATTATTTATACATAATATTATACTGTGTTATAATTTATAATATTTTTATATTGAGTCATTAGGTAGTTAATAATATAGGGTACCTACAGGAAAAAAAACATGAGTATGATATTGCCTACTACATTTATACAAAAATTACACAACTAAAAAAATAATGAGTCAAAAGTTAATACAAAACAGGTGGTAGTACCTATAATAATAGTGCATATAAATATAATATAAATTGAATTACAACAAAATAATTATCATCGTTATTTTGCTTAAATATATTTATATATTTTTGGTACAATTAATTTAATAATATTAATATAAGTTTGAAAAATATACTCACAAGTAAAATATGTATTATGACAACGAAACTGTTCATCTTTATAATCGAACCAAGTATAACATAATATTATAATTATAATTCTCCATTTAATTGACTTCGAGTTATAATCAACGAAATATTTTAAAAATATAAAATATTACAATAATTGTATAGCACTCGTATGGTGTACTTTTTTCCGTGGGCATTTTTTCCGCGGGCATTTTTTCCGCCTGCTCTTAAAAGGACTTTTTTTTTTTAAGTTTATTTTTGTATTATTGTAGTCAAATTAATGAAAAATATTTTGGTATATATCCGAATTTAAAAAAATGATTATTCAACGTAATAATGAGAGTTGATGAATAACGTCATAGAGCCGACGTCATAGGTTTACCCTTCCCTTTTCGGCCGATTCTATATACCGGTTTTATTGATATTATTATTTTTAAGTATGTTATGATCATTTTAAAATGTAGTTTAAAAATGGTCGTAACTTGATCCTCAATAAAAGCCTCCGAAATTCCCTAGATATCTTTTACATTTTAGAAGAGGTAAATTCACTCTAATTTTACGAATTACAGAGTAAAATGTGTTATTGTGAACATAACATTTGTCAGGTTTTACGTTTGTTAAGGTACGTTTTCCCTGCAGCGTCACACACCGGTCTGACGCGGCCGTGCTGTTCCACTATTTGACGCTGCAGACAACAAAATGCCCTTGTAGTGTCTATTAAGTTTGATTATAGGTTAATTCGCTCTATAATTTAAGCTAAAAACTCGCATGCATATACCATGTTATGCGTTAGTACTTAGTTAGAAATAAACATGCGACGCCTAAAAATATTGAATGTAAAAAATATGATCGATTTATTAACGCCGTGTCCAACGTAAATCCGGCGAGTGCGGCGATCCGATTGGAACAGCACGGTCAGAATAGAAATCGCACGCACTCGTCTGATTTACGTTGGATACGGCGTTAGTGTATTAAGTTTTACATTTATATATTTAAATAATTTAAATTATATCAAATGAGCGAATTTAATTGATGTGTACTTATTTTGAATCTGAGACGCTGGACGGAATTGGTACGCTTTGTACCATTGTCCATTACTATAAATGTAGCTTTTTGTTTCGTGAACGGAACTCTGATGCAGGCTACCCACATATAATAAGTACCTACATTAATGTAGCTCATTTCAATGAACAATAAATTAGAGAAAAATACATAGTTTCAACTTAATAGATTAAACATTTAATAAATCTAGATTGATCAATATTCAATTTCCACTTAAAAGTATTTTTTTATTAGATAATTTATTATTATTTATTGCTTTCGAATGTAATCTAATAAAATTATGGTATTTGTTTGTTATTGCCCCACCATAATTATTAGACGTCAATAATAAGAAAAAAAATAAGACAATTTTCTAAAGATCCTTAAGGCGGGTTTCCACTATACACGTTTGCCGTGTAAACGAAAAATGTTCACTAATGTCCAACAAAATAGTAACGTGGTTAATCGCGTGGTAACTTAATCTAACCAACCAATCACAGCTAAGGATTTTTATTCACGTATACGCGTACGGACATAGTGAAAACCCGATTTTAAGTACTCCACATTTTAATTTATTTTAAGGATGTTATGTTTTGTTGTAAAAATTGAATGGCAGTATTAAAATATAATGCGGGAAATAACTCATTAAAATTAACTGTCAAAATTAAGTTAATAGCGTTAATATTGAAATTTTAGATTAAAGACTGTTGACATGAGGTTGACTGGTGGGACGGTTGTATACTCTCCCGATTTTTAAAATTGGTAAACTCTTGGATCAACATTATGTTTTCCTGAAGGAAATATGTAAACTTTCCCGAGTTTTTTTTAAATTACATCGCAAAAAATAGTCACCTTTTTAAAATCTGTATATATTATTAAGAGGCAGTGGCGTATCCAGGGGGGGGGTTTGGGGGTTGTAACCCCCCCCGAAAATTGTTAAATTATAACAACGTTATCATTAATAAATCATTTTAAGATAAAATTCCACAAAAATAAATTATAACCCCTCCCGAAAAAAAATTCTGGATACGCTACTGTTAAGAGGGCTGCAGCAGGTTTTGTCAAAAGTCAAAACTAATGTAGATTTGACCAATCTAAATATTAATTTTGTTCGTTATAATGTTTTTCAATGTATTTAAATTCCGTATCATAAAATAAATCTTAAGGGGGCTGGAGTGCCAGTCAATGAAAAAAAAGTGACTTTTAGACCAATAAGCTAGACAAAACTGGAAGAATTTGGTTTGACAGATTTTAATTTTGAAAACGGATTATGATTGATCAACAAGTTTACTAGGGAATGATCGAGGCTATTTTGAATATTCCAATTATTGTTAGTGTCATAATGAAATTAAATACAAAGTTTGAATTTGCATATTATGTTAAGCATATTTCGCATTTTTTAAACTTAAAATGTACTTACAATTGTTGGCCAGGGTTTCCTAAAGATGTTAACGACAAATGATAATATTATAAAATACAGGAACGTAATAGTTTGTCTGGAGCAGTGAAAGGGTTAATACCTTAACATAAACATTTGGTTATATAGCTGGAATCATGTTACTTAAGTGTAACTTTATTGTATATAAATTAATTTTATAACTACTAAACTTTCTTTCCACTTAGAATTAAATAAAATATTAAACAAATTGTGTAATATAATATCATTTAAATTATTTTAGCTGTTGCTCCTCCAGTAGTTGCTGAAGTACAGAAAAAAGTGTACGTTCCACCAGCTCAGCGTAACAATTTTCAAGGTAAACTGTTAGTTTAATTTTTCACTTTAAATACTAAAATCTTTTAATTATTATCTGTCATTTAGGTGGACATAGAAGCACGCCAAGAAGTAAAACTAGCTTAGATGTTAAAAATGAAGAAATGTTTCCAACTCTTCAAGGCAATAATAATCCTAAAAGAACTGTAGCGCCTGCTGCTAGAAAAGTTGAAACTCCAGCATGGGCCAAGTATCAATGATTAAAAGCTATAATGAACATGCACATAAATATTATCTTTTAAACAATTTTCTAAAAAAAAATTCATCATTAAATTATTGTTTAGAAAATGTTCATAAAATATTTTCCACAATGATTATCACAATTCATTATGGAATGATGTTTTTTGTTCATTAGTCTTAAATATTAATCGAAATTAAAACTGTGATCAAATTTCTATAAATATCATAATATTTTTAAGTGATATACTATTTTGTTAATTTCATTTATTATGATTATGAGTTGTAGATTTGTATACAAATTTATAACAACTAAAACTCTGAAAACATATTTCCGTATAGGGTATTTATGTCATATTTATAATTTCATTAAAAGAATTGTGAGGGCACAACTCATTAGAAATGTCTTAATATATTATACACATGTTAAATTATGTTTGAAATTGTGTTGAAAATTTCTAATTCAAGTGCCTAAAATATTTTGAGTGGTGTATCATTAAAAACTTACAAAAATATATCATAGCATAAGTATTAAATTTTTTGATATAATGTAACAAATAATTATCAAGATTATTAATCACATTTATGTCCTGACTAATAATTTTTTGAAGAAAACTTTTTAATTTTAAAAATCCAAGAAATTGAGACAAACAAAATATTAATATGCACGTTAGATAAAATGTTCATTGCCTTGCTATTTATAAAATGTATTATTTAATATACTTTCTTTTATATCTTAATACATAACTTTTCTGTTTATAATGCTTCACATCCTTATTTATTTTAATTTCTAATTCTAAAATAAATTACTTGTTTTAAGTCATCTTATAATATTTAAGAAAATGTGTTTAAAATATGATTATTAATTACTCGTCGATACATTGAAGAATGAATAATTAGATCAATGCAATTATCAAATATATTTGTTAGTTATTTTATTTATTTCTCATCAATCAAAAACTGAAATATTTGTCTAAAATACAAATTTATTCAGGGCCGTTATTCATAGTCGATGCTTAAGAATAAGTATTTGCTTAAGCTAATTTTGATAATTTGAAAAATACAAATTTGTGGTAATAACTTAAGCAATGCTTGAGGTAGGTTTCAACCAACCTCAATTTAAGTAATACTTTTTGTTTTCTTAAGCTAAAGTCTCGCTTATGAATCTCTCATTTGAGTCATAAGTATATAACTAATAATAATACTAATTTTTAAGCATCAACTATAAATAACTGCCTTAGATTTTAATTTCCTTAAATACTCCTTACAAATTCTGAAAATCAAAAACATACACTTTATAGACGTTATTATCTGTGTCTTCACTTCAATTAACATTAACTTATAATGTCCATAATAGTTTTCTTCATCGTATAGCACTTATTACTAACATTAAATTATGATAAAAGATAACCGTTTAAAATACTGAGTTGTTTTAAAATCAACAATTCAAATGAAAACAAAAATAATTAAAACAGGTAGGTAAGTAAGTAAGTTAGATAATAATATTTGTCATAGGTACATGGTTTCAAAGTACTACGAGTTGTTGGGTGGGTGAGATGGCAGAATTTAAATGATTAGCGGAGAACAAAAATTATAAGTGTAACTAATACACATCTGCGGTGTGCTATCGCTATGTCTACGATACCATGTTGTTTATATCATGGTATTATCAGTCTTCAACATATCACTTTTAATTTTCCAATCTCCTCCACTAATTATGGTTTAAATGAACCACTTTGGCACTGTATGTTTCTTGCTAACCCCTCCTTTTCATTATCTTAAAACTACTGAGTACTTTTAACAATAATATTCATTGTGTATCACACTAGAAGGTAATCATAATTGTAAATTGGGCACATGTCCATAATTATTTATAGACTATTCTATGGTTAATGGTTATGATTTGGGATCGGATTTAATTGTTCCAAAAATATAAAAAAAAATTGCCTTTCAAAAATACATTTATGCATTAAAGAGTTAATAAGTGAGAAGTTCAGTTAATTTTAACTTATTAACTCAACTTAATAGTTCGTTGTTTTAATTAACTTAACTCATTTTCCTCTACATTAACTTAAAATCGTAAATATTATACTAATTACCTAACCTATTCGTGGTACCTACTTACGTTTTATTGTGTATGGGTAAACAATTTATTATTAAATATAATATATGATAGGTAATATATAAATTAAATTATAAAAAAATATTAACATTATTTTAATAGGTGCCTAACTAAGATGGTGTGTAAATTACATTTTAAAATATTTATATTTATTTTAGAATGGTAGTATGGTACCTAGGTACTTTTTCGTTTGTTGAAAAGAATGTAGCGAATTCATCTCGTATTATCTTAATTTCCGCTCCAGGTATTCTCATTATGTTACGAATGAGTAGTAAAGACCCCATGCTATTTTGTTCTTGTCGCTACGCAGGTACCGCAGGAATAATCTGCCCTTCTTCATATTCGATTTCAAATGTCCCGTTTGGTGAATATTAAAAGAGGAATATTTAATTCTTCAAAAAAAAATTTTGTAACAATTAACAATACATAATAGGTTAAGGTTACATAAATTATTACATTTACGTTTTCGATTACCATTGGTTTTTTCATCACTCGAAATATTGAAGAAATTATTCCAAACACATTCTCGACAACACAGGGCACGGGATAGCCGATAGCGAAAATACCCTTTCTTTACCTACTTCCTTTTTCATACACTCCGGAGTACGGTTTTGTCGTACGCGGAGTAAATGCAAATGCATCAATGATGCATCATCCACAAGTCCCAACAAGTACGCAGAGGACTGGGGGCATCGGACATTCAATAATTCTCTTAAAGGTAATGGTTGATCGGATGGCCAATGGAAACATATAAGCTCATTTTGTTCTATACTTTTTTTTATCATTTTTGACATTTTTAACATCAATGAGGGCGGAGGGCTTCGATCCTACACAACTAAAAATATTAATTGGTGACTCCTGCCCTGAGAAAGCAATGTGGCATGTATCTGGCAAATTGCTAAATTTATTGTGGTAGTAATTTCTTACAAAATCGTATTTATATGCTAAAAATGTAGTAATTAGTTGTAGTGAAACACGTTACACAGGCGTGTTACAATCTTAGATCATATTCTATAATCTTAGCATGAGTACATGATCGAAGATTACTATATACTATATAGTATCCAGCTCGAAGCTATAAGTAAAAAAAAATAGTCCAGCGCGAAGCTAAGTAAAAGAAAATAGCGGAGTAGCCACTAACGTATAACAGGACACCGAGTTTTAACATTGAAAAATCGTCCTAATTTATGTCAATTCTTTGCCAAGCTCTACAGGGCAAACGGCTGAACATATAAAGTCGTATGAGGTATCAATCGATCATAAATATTGTGCAGATGGGGACAGAGGAATTCGCTAGCATATTGGTTAGATAGTTTATAAGTTATAAGCAAAATTGCGACGGCGCGGTCTCTCGGATACCGGTCGTTGGCAAGTGGCAACCATTTACCATTAATCATTATACGATTTCGTGTATTGGCGCTGACGAGTGACGACCAGCAAGAATGCAAGATAGTATAATATAGATTATAGGTACTTTCTGACGACTCAACGACTGTGATTGTTTAGTGAATTCGTGATCCATCCGAAAACAAAATGAACATTTCAAAATTAAAACCGTGATCGACGGTATCATATTGTTATGCTGAAAACTTGGAACAATAATAAAATAAAATAGACAATCTGGTGATTAATTCAGTACCCGTGGCAACAATTAAGGTCGATGGCAAATCATATGCTCTTAATTCTGTGATTTGCCATCATGGTCCATCTATGACTCTCAAGTCTCAAGCAGTCAAGCCCATTACACATCAGTTATTAAACATAATAATAAAATACCTATGGGTTAGAGTTAACGATATAATATTTATATTCTAGTTTTAAAATAAAAAACTAAAATAGAAAAAAAGATATGACAACAGGAGGCCAACGATGCATATGCTATTATGGATTACTATTTACTATTATTATATACAGTAAAATAAAATCGCGACTTATTTCATAAAAAAAAATAGCTGATATCACACCACAAATACTTCGTTATAACTCCGTGTAAAGAAAAAGATAAGTTAAAAAAAAAATGTAGTCATGATTAAATCTTTAAAAGACGTGATATAATATGGAAATTAAGTAAAATTACATTTTATAATATTACAAATACTGAAATACCTATAATGGCAAATAAGATCAATTTTAATTTGTAATGTTAAATACTTAGTCAATATATTATGCTTAACTATTTGGCAGGACGCAGAAGTATACTTAAATAAATACAGTTAAGTAATCACTACAGTATTTACAGTAGGTAATTACTAATTAATAATGTATCAACAATATGTTGACTAAGTAATTAACATTACAATTGATCTTATTTGTCATTATAGGTATTTGTAATATTATACAATGTAATTTTACTTAATTTATATATTATATCACGTCTTTTAAAAATTTAATCATGACTAAATTTTTTTTTTTTAACTTAGCTTTTTTTTTACACGGAGTCATAAGGAAGTGTTTTTGGTGTGATATATAGTAACTGTGATTGTAATTTGTAGTAATTGTAAACAAAAGCCGTAGGTATGGAGTTTATTAATTAAAATACAATTATTATTGTTATTAGTTATTACACAGTTACCTACTGAGCATAATATAGCCATATATAGGTATACAACTGCACTATACCCGACGCGGCAATTTCATGTCATATCATAATCAATAATCACCATTATTATAATTTACAGTATAACTCATAGTCCATAGATTTGGTAAAAATTAAAATATATAATTAATTTTCCCACAATTCATATTATATATATAACATATATTCAAATATCCCCTATTCGCATTTAACAATAGTTTTAATAATTTAATATGAACCCGTGAAGATGAATAATATTGTTGATTTCGTAAAGCTTATAAAATAAATAATAATAGTTCCAATACCTAATCGTTTACTATATTACT